GAAGCATGTTTTTCTTCGTCCACTGACCATTTGCACTGCCTACAGAACGAAAGAACTTCTTGTAGCGATTTTATTCACTGCAAGAAACACATGCTAACGCTTTCATCCTTTAACACAAGACTGATTTTTTTTACTGCAAGATCTTGTTTCTTGCAGTGAAGCTGGTTACAGCAAGAAGTGACAAGAAAAGTGTTCTTGCTTTCTTGCGCAAGAAAAATACTTTCTTGGGGCAAGAAAGAGGCAAGAATGCGCAAGAAACGATTCTTGGGCAAGAAATGTCACAAGATCTTGCATTCTTGCTTAACAAGAACATCGACTAGGGAAGATACATATCTCCTTATTTGCTAGGTTTCTAGTAGAAAACGAAATAAAATGCGAAAGAAATAGAAAAACGTTTATGCTTTGGTATTGAATTGTAACACACAACATACAAACACCTAAATTAGTTCAAGATATGATTTTACATTTTTTTTGAAACAATCTAATGTGTGCTGAGGTAGACATTGCAAGTGGAAGAGTAGTCCACTACCTAGCTGTTTCAAAGAAAAAAGATATTTTTACCAGTCCTTCGTTTGTATATCGTGTGTCTACTGCTCCTATAAATCATGATAATGTTGGAGCAGTTAATAGTGTTATTAAATTAACTGGAGAAAGAACTGATAAGTTAGTCTTTATTTTATAAAAGTTTAGCAGTCTAAAATACAATCGACGAGTGTTCGGATCTAGCAAACCTAAAGATGTAACAACATTATGAGAGAGCTTAAGGGGATGTCCCCCATTTAATTTTTTATTCTAACGTTCCCAGTTTGTAGAGGACACTTCGAAGTATATGTCCTGAAGTTTTTTCGGTTTACTGACATTATTTGGCTGAGAAAATAAATTAAGTTAATTACTTAAAAAGATATTTTTGAACAAGGGATTTTTATTAAAAGAATTCCTGTCCATTCTCCATTCATCATAAAAGCTTCGTTCTTACCTAGATGGATAGAGAAAGAACAAAAAGTCTTGCATATTTTCTCATAATAAATATTCTCCACACATTTCCCGCCTACCTGTTGTCCAACATCCGACAGAAAAAGAAATCGCATGTCCTCTTGGTGTCATCCCACAATCTGTATCAAGCTGGCCAGAAGGCACACAAAACTGGGATGAGCTCGAGATGAAACATCATGATGACTGCCCCTTACCTAAACCACAAAGACTCATCGTCTCTAACACATCAGCGATCCCTGCTCAGAACGTCTTTATGCCGCAGTCATCACTTGCCCTTCACAGGCACGATGGGATTTTATCATCTCATAAGGTGGAAAATTTCATCGAACTCTCCTCGAACACATTTAAATCCGTTTCATGTTATCGTGAAATACAGGAACCTGTCTTATCATGCAGTTCTATATCAAAAGCATATCCATCTTGCTCCCAGCCACTCGAACTAAATGACTGTTCTCCTCAGTCATCAAAAATCAATGACCCGGCTATTCAAGTAGTTGAGCAAAATGGCTTTTCTCCTCGTACGTCCATGGAGGATCACAAATCTCCAAAAGTAACTACATGGGATGATAAACATCTCCCGTCATCATCAGATTCTATTTTACTAGCGATAAATCTATCTACCGCTGAAATTGCAATCCCTGAATCTCTACCAGTAGTTACGTGAGAACACGAACGCCACACACTTGAACTTATATGTATCCAAGGTGAATATGTACCGAAAAGATCAAACGCCTGGAAGCTGGAAAATCGGCTCTAGAACAACAAGTAAAACTACGACAGCTTCAAATGGAAACAAATCAATGCTTATTTAGTCATCTATTACCTGTTCCTAAGACGCAAAAAGTACAAGATATGAAACCCAAGAAACCAAAATCGAAAAAGACAACGGCGCGAATATCTCGTGCTCAAAAAACGAAACGTGCTAGTAGTCATCATCCTCTCTCTGAAAATCATTCAGCTCTCCATCCAGTAGCATTGTTAAATTCTTTCAAAAGCATTCAACCGAAATATCAGGTAGATGGACGGCAAAAGGAAATGTCCTCTATACTTCCATTGTTATTAGCATTGTTAGCCATATTATTATCGTTATCGTTAATATTTTTACTAAAAACTCCACTATTTATGGAAAAAGACTTCTTTCCCACTATATCATATCCGATGACAAAAGATGTTGAACCGGCTAAGCCTATTAAAATACCTTCCTTATTTGGAAAATTATTCTCAACACAGCAACGAATAAGTTTCGCTCTGCCTTCTCTATTTGTGCATAGGAAATGGAAGTACAAAGAGTTTCTCCATTTCGTACGTTCATGATGAGTGTAAATCTCCAAACTAAATAAATCCGTGCTGATATATTTTAACCAGTTGGTCAACTATCGGATCGACAAGTCGAACTCCTTTTTCTAGTATTCATTCTTCTCGCATCACTTCAGCAATGTAAAGCGGAGAACTTCCCGATCACAAATACTTCGTGTGATACTCCTCTTTTATTATTTGCTTTTCTTTGTCTCTCAATGATTCAGAAATGTCTTTCCAAACGTCTCTGGCAAAATCTATTCTAACTGATCACTCCACATCAAGCTATATATGTAGCATGTTTCCTATTGAATTTCATGGATACTGTGAGGTATTCCTTCGAAACTTATCTCCGACAACACTTACGATATGAATGTGTAAATATTGACATAAATTCCTTTGTTCCTGGTCTCTGTTTGTCCAATTATGTATATATGTAGTTTTACATATGCCTAACCTATTTCAAACTCCTACAATTTCCTTTATTTAACCGGAATATTTTTGACCTCCAGTCAATTATTCTTCACATTTCGTCTAAGATACTCTTTATTTATCCGGGATATTCTTCAACTTGGTAGTTATCCGATTATCATTAGCATGACGCCAGCAATTCTTTTCCGTTCTGTTTTATTTGTTTTTTTTCTGTCATTTGTTTTGATTTTTGTTGGATTTTGTTTTCTATTCGTGCGGAGCACTCATTTTCGCAGTGGACGGAGATGTAAAGAATAATGACCTCTCCTTCAACCGACTCTCATATTCACATACATTCTATCGCTATTCATGTCTCCGTCCGTCACTTTCTTTCTCTTCTCCTTGTTCAGTATATACGTTCACTCTTTCCATCCACTGTACTTCACTCTCTCTGTGTATATGTTCAACATCACTCTCTCATTGTTCAGCCTATGTCTCTCCATTCATATTTCACCTCTCTCCTTTTGACAAGCTGCCATGACCGGTTCTGTCCTTGCTTAACGGGCTCATCAGGTGGCTTATGATCTCTAATTCGATTCAATGTAGACTCAAGTCGAGATAATTTATTCTGTCACAAATTAGTATAAAACTAAGATGTAATGATAAATCTCGTTCCCAGTAGTGAGACAAGACGATGTGAGTATAATAAATTAATTTAAAGAGCTGAGTTGCAAGTAATCATGGCACTTATTTACTCTTGTCTCACTACTGCCAACGAGATTTATCATTACATTTTAGTTTAATACTAATTTATGACAGAACAAATGATCTCAACTTAATTCTTCATTGAATTGTTTATTTGAGTCGAACGAAGGTTATTTTGTCGAAAAACCTTGAAAAATATCAAAAATAAGCCTGGAAAAGCGGTCTGCCTACAACTCAACCATGTGGCCCACCTTCTTAGATTCTAAGAAATACCTAGTTTTGTAGCTCTTCAAACGCTCTATCAAATGAGAAGTGAACAAATTTGGTTCAACGTTTTATTAACACAATAATTGAGCGACAAACATTATACTATGCCTAATATAAGTTCAAACTGAAAAGATTCATAGTTCGTTTATGGATCAAAATATATTTCTGAAAGAATATTTCTATTATGAAAATATAGCCTGAACAAAGGCCTATCAGAATAACTATAAACCATTATTTATTTTCTTTCAGACTCTATTTATTTGTTTCAGAGTATTAGGTGTGGACGGTAGTTTAAAGGTAAGCATTATTACTTGTCTCATTAATCTGTCTGGTTCAGTTAATCTCGATTTATTTTCTCTCAGACAAATACGAACATTGCTGACCGGTATCAACGTCTAAGTATGTAATAGAGATAGATCCCATTCATAGCTGTAATCCACTCAAAATACGTCAAATTTGGTATCAAAATGATCAAGATTTTATGATCTCTCATTCTATATATAAATTAATTAAGTTTGGTCCGAATGAAATGAAAAGGGGCCAGAACACGGTCTTATACGGACCCGTCCTTCTCAGTAAACTAGATTATTGGAGAACTTTTTCGCCAATATCTACAGTATAAAATACTAGAAAAAAAGGAAAAAACATACGTTGTAGACTGTCTACTAAGTACTATGGAATGCATGATTTGCTATGTACTTTAAGAGAGACTTCGCGAGCTAATTAGGCGTGCATCAGAAAGCGGTCACATATGAAAAAGTAACATTTACTCTTCATTAAATATCGTAATTCGTTGTGAGGTCACGAAGAAGTTTTGAGCGAATCTGGACATGGTTCGACAGAGTTATGTGCACTTTAAAGATGTAGCGATCTGAAAAACAATGGAAAAGTGACTTTGTCGGATTCGATTACTCTGTCATTTTTCGTCTGTTCAGTTCAACCAATGG